AAAATTAATGATGTTTATGGTACTGGTTTATTTCCACTCTAGGCCAGTTATTCTATTGCAATTTGGACTAGCATTTTCTTGAAAGAAGAAAAATTAGATTTATTTTAATCCATATTTAAAAAGAAGAGAGCTATCTTTTTTGTATGAGAGTTAAGTACCTTTAATAACTATAGCTTTCTTGGGCTTAGCAATATTGATTCTTTTTGTTTTCATTCTTGATTATTTTGGCTATTTCTTGAGTGTGTCTTATTACAGCAAAGGTAAAGTTAACTCTTTAAATACTTATTATCATTTACAGAGAAGGTCTGTAATTTATAATTTTGAACCAAACTTTTTTTGTGAGTGGAACATATCACTGGCCAGTTTTCATCATTATTGCACTGGTGAAAGAGGAATAAAATATTTTTTTAATTCAAAACATATTTAGATGAATACATATATACATGTAAATATATTTTCTCATTTATATACATTTTATATATATTTTAATTAACTAAAATATTTTAATAAACTAAAAATTCTAATAAACTAAAATATATATTATTATATATATTTATTATATATATTATATATTATTATATATATTTATATATTTTTAGTTTATTAAAATTTTTAGTTTATTAAAATATTTTAGTTAAATATATATAAAATGTATATAAATAATTAAAATGTATATAAATAATTAAATATATATTATATATATCTATATATATGAGAAAGTATCATGTGGAAATGAAAAGCTAGAACTTCTGGAGTTGTAAATCTTGTTTTACCTTCAGGCCATATTCTACTTTCTAAAGTAGGTCTTATGCTATTAACGTTTATTTCATATGTGCTTTATTTTTAGTATATAAGAATAATAATAATAGAGCTTTTAAATCTTCTTATGAAGATGAATCGCATTTCTTTGAATCTTTGAAATCCTCCACCTGTGTATCTAAGAATGATGGAAGTTCTGACTGTGAAGCTTCTCTTGAGAGGCTGATAATGCCAAAGGTCAAACTCCTTATGGACTGGGAAATCCTCTTTGTTTTTGCTTAGTTTGCTTGATGCCTCTACGCCTGTCTCTGCTAGACTGTAAATTATGTCCAGTAAGGAGATTTCTGGAAGAGGAGAGACTGTGCATAGTTAAGTGGTTATCAGTAGCTTTGTATAATCTCAGATGTTGAGATCTACAATAAATCATCATTTTAGGGACACCTAACATAGTAAAAAGTATTGGCAAAACTTCACATTGGCTTATGCTTCATTCCTGCTGCTTTTCAAAAGGGAAATGACTAGAGTGTGAACATTACTGAAATGACTTTGTGTGGGGAGCAACCCGGACTGGACTGAGTTACTGGAATTAAGACTTATTCTATGCATCTGCTCTCCCACAATATGGCGCTGGGAGAGGAGAAAACAGCTTCTACGCAGCTGCCTCTTGCCAACTTGAGTGATGACCTACAGGAGCTGATCCTGCTCCTGATTGGAGCAGAGCAGCGTACTCGGCGTGTGGGCAGCCGAGTTGGGATTGGTGGAAGAGGACTATAAAGGAGGAGAGAGACGGCAGGCACCAGGAACATCTAAGGGGAACATCTGAGGGAACACCTGTGCAGCCCCCGAGAGAGCCGGCCGGCGGTGTGCCGCTCCCCTGCGGAAGTGGGGAAAGTGGCAGGGGGAACCGCCCTTCCACGGAGGTGGAAGGGACGGTAGCCAACCCGGGAAGAACCAGCAGCAAACCCGGGGAGGGCCGAGCAGACGAAAGAACAGCGCAGGGTCCTGTGTCGTTCCTCCACGAAGAGGGGGAGCGACAACTTTGGACTTGGGAATTAGCTACTAGGCCAGTTAGGTGTGAGACTTTAATTAAGGATTAGATCTTTTTATTGATTTATTTGAGAGACAGGGAGAGAATGATAGAGATTAATAGAGAGGACTCCTGTTTGCTGGTTCACTCCCCATATGTCTGCAATAGCTGGGACTGGGTTAAGGGTGGAGTCTGGGAGATGGGAATGCAATGCAGGTCTCCCATGTAGGTGGGAAGAATTTAATTACTTGAGCAATCATCACCGCCTCCCAAGTTCTACAACATCAGGAAACTGGAATTGAGCAAGAGCGGGGACTTGAACCCAAGTACTCCAATGTGGATGTTGTGTGTTAACCACTAGGTCAAATGGCTACTCCATTTTTTCTGTTATTTTCTTAAAAACATTTTTAAAAAAAATTCATTAATTGGATCAGTTTTTTTTTTTTAAAGATTTTTGGAGAGCATGTTAGTCAAAGTAGCAGAAGCAAAAAGCAGTAATGGATATGTGAGTATTGTGATGGGCAAGTACCTAATGAACAGATGGGAATAGGCTGAAAGGAATAGTCTAGAGGAAACATGGTTTTTATTTAATCATACTGTAAGAAAAAGATCACTTTTTCTGATGAGAGAAATGAAATCACTTTTTTGGAATATTGGTGTTACAAAATAGAAAATAGTTGTTAACCATTAATGCAACAACCAATCCTTTTATAAAATGAATAATAGATATAATGATAATCTGTAGAAATGCAAAGCATCCACTGGACTAAAATGTCTATTATCTCAAGTTGGCAGTGTATGCCTGATGTAACTGATAAATATTTTATGAATTGTGAAATAATTGAAAATAAAGGCATTATGCTATATATGTTTATTTACCCAGTTTTAGTATAACATGCCTAAATTTAAATGATATTTTTGTAGTTTTCTATTTTTTTAGATTTATGAGTTAATTATAAAACTAGTTTTTCTGTGCAATAAGTCAAATGCCTCTCAATTTTTAATTTTTTTAAAGAAGAAGTCACATGTTGTGTTTCATTGCATTTTATATTTCATTAGAAAGCTTATCAGGGAAAATGAAATTAAGTAACCTTAACTACTGCTTAAGAAAATTATATAATATTTTAATAAAGGTTTATAATGCTATTTTTTATAGAAAGCTTCTATTTAATAAATATAAATTTCAATAAGTACAACTTTTAGATTATAGTGGGATGCCATCTTTCTGAACTTAAGTTTTTTTAAGATTTGTTTATTTATTTGAAAGCCAGAGTTACAGAAAGAAGTAGAGACAGAGAGAGAGAGAGAGAGAGAGAGAGAGAGAGAGATCCTCCATTGACTGATTCTCCCCACAAAGGGCTGCAATGAATGGGTCTGGGCCAGGGTGAGGCTAGGAGTCAAGAGCTTCATCCTAGTCTCCCATGTGGGTGGCAGGGGCTCAAGCATCTTCTGCTGCTTTTCCAGGCCGTTAGCCGGGAGCTGGATAAGAAGTGGAACAGCTGGGACACGAACCGGCATCAATATGGGATGCTGGTGTTGCAGGTGGTAGCTTTACTCACTATGCCACCATACTGGCCTCTGAACTTAGGTTTTTAACTTCTAAATTTAGTGGTCACCTGTTATGCTATTACCATGTTTAAATTATTATAAAACAAAGAATACAAATAAATCTAACAAAGAATAAAGATATAAAACACTTTTGTGTTTAAGATCAGATAGTTAAACCTTGGTATTATTGTTTTATCAATACTGTTCTTTGTTCAAAAATTAATTTAGGGTTGTTTACATAAGTAAGCATTATTCGTTAACAAAAATAAAACTAAATCATGATAAGAAAATGAGAGTCCACGTTGTGAATGTAAGCCCAAGTTCTTGCACATTATAGACAGAAAATTCAGTCTTGGTTTTCTTAGCAGCCAAAACACAAAAAATGAACCAGTTGGGATAGGTTTCGCCAAAGTGTGTTCCTGTAAAACTAGGTGTAATATGGTTACCATGACAATATAGGGGCAAATGATGCTGTATCCCCTTCTAGAGATAAACCTTCACATCAGCATTCTGAAGGTCCATGGGAATTCTATGGTTAAAACAACTGCATAGCTCAGTGTTCGCTAGTCACATTTGGCCATCCCTCACTCCCTTTTTCCTCACCTAATATCTATCAACATTTCCCGTTTGGGGAGTCAGAGAGATATTGATCTTTAGCCAAAACAGTCTGTTTGCTTAGAAAGCGGCCCAGCAGGGTGAGGTTTAAGTTTCTCCTGCAGATCCCACAGAAGGGAGAGTACACTTATAGTGCAGGGGGCTCATCCTCAATGAATAGCCACTCTGTATACAATCATGACTTTCAGATGGCTTTTTCCATAGGCTTTCTTTCAGCATGATTAGACAATGTAATGTAATAAGTCACTAAGAAGTTTTCCATTGCTTTTAAATTGTCTTACGAAAATGTAAAGACATCAGTGTTTAATTTTCTACATTGTAGTTTCTGTTCTCTGCTGCTATTGAAAATCTTTAGCATCTTTGTTTGATTATCTATATCCCATCCTGTTCTAAAAAGGAAGTGGAGGGGGGCAAACTAGAGATGAGCAGAAAACACAGAGTGGAATGTTTAATTGGTTATTGTGTGGATAGTTGGGGTGGTGTACCTGCTGACATCATAGACAGAAGCTGTGAAGAAAACCAAAGGAAACTGGGACACCTATCTATAGATGATGCGAAATAACTGTGGCTGCTCAGAGGTGATGTGGCAGTGGGACCGTGAGGGTATTGTTTTTGAGCAAAGGTGCAAGGAAGAGCATGGGGCTAAATGACAGTCACAAGCAGAAGCACTGCAGAAAGCAGCAAACAAAGGAAAGTTCATCCTGTGGAAAAAGAACACATCATAACAGATCAATTTTTTTCCAGCTTTGCCTGCTCAGATACAACAATCGTTTTAGTAAGGTCATCTTCAGATTTGAACAGTCGTTTCCAAGGATTCTTTTCCAATCTTTTTAATCTACAATTAATTTAGTATTTTTTAAGGGTTTTGATGAGTGAATTGAGAGTTTGATATGTAACATAAAAGAATGCATTTTTCAACATGATCTAATATTGCAGTTGGTTTTCAATGGTAGTGAAATGTATAATTGCATTTGGCTTAAGTTACTGGGGACAGGCTGCATTTCACTCTGAATTTAATCTAAATATAATTAAGATATCCTCCTCTTTCCAGGCAAGAGTGCAGCACTGCATCTGCTCCGTCGCCAGTGACCACTCAGTAGGACTTCTAAGTTTGCGTGAGAAAAAGTGCATCATGCTGGCATCACGTCACCTTTTCCCTATTCAGGTCATCAAGTGGAGGCCTTCAGATGATTACCTGGTAGTGGGATGCTCAGATGGCTCTGTGTATGTCTGGCAAATGGATACTGGTAAGAGCAAGAATAAAGAGAGAGAGAAAAAATTAAATGTGTGCATTTGATTTCCTAGAAATGACACTCTTTTACATGACAAAAAGTCCTGAAATGTAAAACGGTTACTATTTTTATTTCTAATCGCTGCTTTTTCTGAATGTTCTCATTATCAACAAATACACACTTGTCCTCTTATTTGTTTTATTATTCCAAATACTTGTAGATTATTTCTCTATTGAGCATAATACCCAGATAGGACCAACATACAGAAACAATAAGTGATTTCTGTGTCATTCATGTAGTAAACTGGGAGCAAAATGAAGGGACCGTTTTTGTCTCAGTTTCAGGAATGGTGGAAAAAGTTAAAAGCTCTTTTTATTTTGTACAGGAGAAAAGCAGTACTGAGCAGTTAATTGTAGGAAGTAATTGACATTAAAGTTTTGAGTTCTAGAGAGAACATTTAAAAATTAAAGTTTAGGGGCCAGTGCTGTGGCATAGCAGTTAAAGCCGCTGCCTGCAGTCCCAGCATCCTGTATGGGCACCAGATCAAGTCCCAGCTGCTCCACTTCCCATCTGGATCTCTGCTATGGCCTGGGAAAGCAGTAGAAGATGGCCCAAGTCCTTGGGACCCTGCACCTGCATGGGAGACCCAGAAGAAGCTCCTGGCTTCAGATTGGCGCAGCTCTGGCTGTTGCAGCCAGGGAAGTGAACCAATGGATGGAAGATTCTCTCTCTCTCTCTCTCTCTGCCTCTGCCTCTTCCTCTCTATAACTCTGCCTTTCAAATATATAAATAAATCTTTTAAAAAAGTAAAGTTTGATACATTTTATATATGAGGAGTGTAATATACAGTGATATATGAGTATGCATGGATTTCAAAATTTTTACACCAAAATAAACTTAACTCGTTAATTCCATTTCTGTACCGCCTTTTAAAGTACCCTCATATAATGTTTATGCACAGATGGCCATGGTTTTCCCTGGGAAATCTGTAAGTATGCAACTAAATATTTATTAGGTAAGGCCTTTTGGAACACATTCTGTTCTGTTCTTATGATCTTAAGTAATCATCTATCAGTAGTTAAAGCCTTTCCTTAGATCCTGAGTTGTATTTTATAATTATGAATTTTTCTTTTTAAAAATGTTTTAAATTGTTCATTAATTTACTATTATATTACTGAATTCTTTACTAATTATTATTCCTTATTACATTAATTCCTTAATACGTTGGATTCTCAGGGTCACAGCAAATGCATGATAGTTAGTCTAGCACAATTCTCACCTTAATATGATATTAATGCAAAGAGAACAGATTCAATGTAGTTCACAGATATAATTTTTTAAAAAAAATATTTGTTTCCTTATTTGAAAGTCAGAGATAGAGAGAGAAAGAGAGAGAGAGAGAGAGATCTAGTTTACTCCTCAAATGGCCCTAAGCCAAGAGCCAGGAGCTTCATTAGGGTCTCCCACATGGGTGCAGAGGTTTAAGCACTTGGGGGCCATCTTCCACTGCTTTCCCAGTCCACCAGCATGGAACTGGATGGGAAAGAGGAGCAGCCAGGACTTCAACTGGTGCCCATCGAGATGCTGGCGCCACAGGTGGAGGCTTAACCTACTATGCCGTAGGGCCAGTCCCCATAGATAAAATTCTAAAAAAACCTTTTTCTTTATTTAAAACAAACAAAACTTTTTAAATATTTCTTCTTCTTCTTTCTTCTCCTTTTTTAATTTATTTGACAGGTAGAGTTATAGACAGAGAGAGAGAGAGAGAGAGAGACAGAGAGAAAGGTCTTCCTTCTGTTGGTTCACCCCCCAAATGGCCGCTATGGCTGGCGCTGCACGCATCTGAAGCCAGGAGCCAGGTGCTTCTTCCTGGTCTCCCATGTGGGTGCAGGGGCCCAAGCACTTGGGCCATCCTCCACTGCCCTCCCAGGCCACAGCAGAGAGCTGGACTGGAAGAGGAGCAACTGGGATTAGAACCTGGCACCCATATGGGATGCTGGTGCCACAGGTGGAGGATTAACCAAGTGAGCCACGGCGCCGGCCCCCAAAACTTTTTTTGAAATCAGATTACATACATATTTATGTGTTGTACAATAGGGAGTTCCCTTAAGCCTTTTTTTGAATAAGTAATGATCTCCACCGATCTTTTGTGCATGTCCTTCTTTTGTGCATGTCCTTATTTCAGCTGCTAGAACATAGCCAATCTTTTTTTTTTTTTTAAGATTTATTTATTTATTTGAAAGGCAGAGATTTGTGAGAGGAGAGAGAGAAAGAGAGAGAGATCTTCCAACCTCTGGTTCACTCCCCAAATGGCTCCAATGGCTGGGTCTTGGACAAGTGAAAGTATGGAGCGAGGAGCTTCTTCCAGGTCTCCCATGTGGATGGCAGGGACCCCAGGACTTGGGCTATCTTCCATTGCTGTCCTAGGCTCATTAGCAGGGAACTGAATTGGAAGTGGAGCATCTGGGACTTGAACTGGTGCCTGAGTGGGATGCTGGCACTGTAGGCGGTGGCTTTACCCGTTATGCCACAGCGCCATGCCCAGCACATAGTTAACCTTAACAGGAGCCTTCTTGAGGTCTGTATTTTAAAGTGTAACTTGTCTGGCTGTAAAAGATTCATTCTTTTTGTCAAATTTTAAAAGCACTGAAGTATTTGGAGAGAAGAAAAATGAATCTAAATCTCATTGCCCGGTGTTCACATTTTGGCATATTTCTTTCTAGTCTGTTTCTGGGCATTTTTGAAAACAGACTGGCTGTCATAATACATTTGCAATTTTGTGTCTTACATTTGTGTTCCTTTATACTGTATCTCCTGAATAACAGAGTCCTGTGTTTGCTGGTTTGGTTTACCTCACAAACTAAATGTACAGTCCTTGGCTCTGAAATCAGACTGGCATAAATGTGGAATCAACCACTTGGCTAGCTCTGTGACTTAGAACAAGTCACTGGACTTTTGTCCCTCATTTCCCTCATCCATAAGTGTAGGATAATAGTACTTCCTATTTTATAGTTTTGTTGGAAGAATAAAATGAGATGCTATTTCCCTGGTGTGTGGCAAACTGAATGTTAGGGTGTATACATCTATGTATATCTGGATACACCTATAGGTTTGTGGGTTTACATGCATGTGTGTGTGTTTTATATTGTATTAAGGCAACATGCTGCTTGATAACTTGACCAGTATGAAAAAATATTTTCTTTGGGATTTAGTGTTAAAAAAAGTTTGTATGGTAATAATGACATTTGTAAAACACTGTATTAAAATACTGTAGATATTAAGTTAGTATTAATAAAATGTTAATCACATAAATTTGATGTATTTTAAATGGAGAAGAATAGTAAATCTGCCTAGGACTTGTTTAAATTAAATTAATACAGTTTAGGGATAGAGTATAATTTTCCTGAACTTTTTAGACATTTATATGACATTTGACTATTTCAGATACTTTAAATATATTTGCAAGGAATATAGGATAAAATATGAAATCCTTCACAAATGAGACTTTACTGAAAAGGTTACTTTTCTAGTAATTTTTCTAGAAGGAAATTAAACATTGCCCCTAATCTTAGGGATACTGGAGAATGTTAACCTTATAATAAGTTTAGTACAATTAAGCCTGATTTAAACACAATTACATAATCTTGAAATTTTACAATTACCCTCTGACTTTCAGGAGAACTCAGGTGAACAGTCAGTTACTTTGGCATTCTTAAATCTAGATAAAGATAGAGAATGCAGATGTATTGCAGATTTCAGCTGTAATAGGAGGTATACATTGTTTTTTCTCCTTGCTGTGCAGGCTGTAGCTGGTGATATAAAGGTCCCTGTGGAGTCAGGCAGGTACATCCTGAAGGTATTGACATTATTTATTTATTAAATTTATTTATTTATTAGATAAATAAAAAATGAAGCTAGATAAATCAGATTCAGCCAGGGTTTGATGTATGAAATGTATTTAAACTCTGAGGAACTACTTGATCCCTCTTCGTGGTGTTTTGGGAATGTATTTTACAGTGAACCTTGGTGTACTAAACCTACTCAAGCTACTGGGCCATTTTCCCTTCATTCTCTTGTTTTATATTGAGCGTTTCTATTTTAAAATGCTTAGAATGTCTTTCCTTTATACACTTATGCAGTATCTGCTTTTATTTCTCCCGTTCAAGTAGGTGGTTTTGTTTGCAGTGTTTACTTGTATAGTCCTAGTGAAATGAGGTTGAAGCTAATAATGTACATGTAATTGGAGAGATGGAAGCCCAGAATCTCTTGTTCTTTTATGGTGACAGCTCTATTATATGTAATAGCAACGTGATAGTTATACTGGGGCCATGGAAATTATTCCTTCACAGTTCTTGTTAGAAAATTAGTGAGATAATTGCAGTGTGATTGGACCAGATGAACCTGTTGACTCCTGCTTATGGGCGTATTAAAGGTGAGCCAGTGACCTGGGTGGTGGCTGCTTCTGTATGGAGTTATTTCTGGGCTTCAGGGTCAACTGTCTGATCTTTCACATTTGATATTCCCATCAAGTGTGCTGTGTGGTTCCACAGGCCTTTGACAAGGTCAGAATCCTGGCTATTTGTGAAACAGTAGCATGCTTAAATCATGACTGATAATACAAGCCATAAACAATTTATTTAAAAGTCAGTGTTACAGAGAGAAAGGGAGAGACAAAGAGAGACAGAGAGATCTTCCTTCCATCTGCTAGTTCACTCCTCAGATGGCCACAACAGCCAGCTCTGGGGCTAGGCTGAACCCAGGAGCCAGGAGCTACTTCCAGGTCTGTAGCATGGGGTCCTCTGCTGCCCTTCTCAGGCTATCAACAGGGAGTTGGATAAGAAGTGGAGCAGCCAGGCCTTGAACCAATGCTCATATGGGAAGCTGACGTCTCGGGTGGTGGTTTTCCCTGCTTTGCTACAATACTGGGCTCAAGAATGGAGTCCAGCAGACTTAACATTTATATTGCTCTTCATTGCTTTGGGTAGATGCACATTCCATCCAAATCATTTTTTTGT